GCTTGATTTTCTGCAATCAGACAGTCCCATCTCGGGGTAATAGGAGACAATGACACCTCAAGTGTGTGGTTTATGTCCAGTCTACTTCGTAATTTTGTTTTAGTCACTATTGCTGCAGAAACTCCCCACCTCACACAGGTAGTATGTCGGAAATAGCAACAGTGCTAATGTGGCGATCTCAGAGTATTCAGCCATAACTTTGATCCAGTTGTTTCGAACGTACTTTTAAGGCCGCCGTCATTTGCGATCTCCAAGCAGCTTTTTTACTCAATTTGCGGGCTTCAGCGTTTTGTTTATGAGCGTCATCGGTCACGTGACCGAGAAGTGTGACTTGACGTGAGTCAAGCGTGACACAGACGGATGTAACAGAGAATACGGTAATTTTTCAAAATAAAACATGTTTCGTCTTCCGAAATAAATAAAACGGAAATAAGGCAAGTTCTTTCTGTGCGGCCTGGTACCAAATGCCCTGCGGACCAGTACCGGTCCGCGGACCGGCAGTTGGGGACCCCTGCTGTATATTACTCGCTTTATGTTTAACAATTATGTGCAATTTTTGTGAACTCAATGTATTAAAATAACTGCTGCATCATGGGCCATCGTTTTCAACTCTGTAATGTTTGTTTTTAAAGCGTTATTTATTTGATATCCCTCTATTTACTCAGGATGCGGACAAAAACCCGGATAGTGGAAATCTGTGAGTAACTGACACCCTCCCTCAAAATAAAAGGTGTGTGATTGGGCAAAGCACTCAAAACAGAAAAGATCATAAAGCATCAACGCTTGCAAAAACGCACATGAGAACACAAACAAATATGCATTGCAGTATATTACATAAATGGAATTAAGTCATTCAACTCACATCATGGCATTTACACAATAACAAATGTAAGGGAATACATGAAAGTTGTACTGACAAAGTAGACAACAGGTATAAGTCGGCTAACAACAACAATGCGATCGAAATGGAACATTCATTCATGAGTTGTTAGCTAATATTCCTGATTATTAATGAAGAATATTATTCACACATTCATATTGAACTGGACCAGGTTGAAATATCCCAATATTTCCCTTCTCACATACCAGTCCTGGACAGCATTGAAGGATTCCTCGTTGGTGATGTCATACATGAGGATGAAGCCCATGGCACCCCGGTAGTAAGCTGTAGTAATGGTACGGTAACGCTCCTGACCCGCCGTGTCCTTGAAATCAGAAAAATTCGAATAAAACATCTGTTCACTTTTCCGTTAAGATGTAGTAAAGAAAGTAACAGTTTTATGGTTTACGAGCCATTAGGAAACACTAACAGGAGATCTGAGTTTGGAAAATATGAATTTTATATGGTAACTACATTGTCCATTGCCAGTGAGACTATCATTTATACAGACATAATACAATGGATTGACTCCTAACTGAAGTTGCTCATTGGAACTAAATGACTACATTGAATCACCCCTGCGGCTCAAGTGAGGATAAGACACACAGAAAAGAGATGGGTGTACAAGTAAATATTGAATCGCCAATTCAGAGATGAGCGATCGTTTATCATGCTGCTTTTGCCTCGCATACCATTGAGTGAAAAATCTTGAGTGGAGTGCACCCTAAATGTGGGATTCCATCAAAACAAACAAACAAACAAACCCTGCTCTAATGTTGAAAATGCATGGCCCAGGTGAGATCACAACACATCTTGCGAGACAACAGCAAGTCAATAAAGGTGAACACTCTACTGTTCTATATATAAAGCATGTTGATCATTGATGACGTTAATATTTTGACCCAGCAACTCATTAATTAGCCCCCTCTTTTATACAGCTGCAATCTGAAACTGTTGCAAGGACATACAGTCCATTGGTACAGACGGTCCAATGGCGAAACGGGATCCAAATGGTCCACACAGTTGCATGAATAGTATGTTTTCTTATCGCTCTCTTCCTTGTTCTACGATGGCAAGAATATTCGTCTTATTTATAGCCAAGTGCAGTGCTGATGTATTTTAAATACTCGTCTGCTCATCCACACAATGTGCTTGTTTGGAGAGGACAGGGTTATTATTTCTATGACTAAAATGTCAGTGTAGGTAGCGCTGAGTGTTGTTATGTAACAGACACACGGTGAGTGCCCTATATACAGTCAATGGATTGTGTAAATAATTACATTCAAATGAGATATTTTTTCGAGGATGCAGGGTCATAAAGGCATACTGTACGACATTCGTGCTGATTTGTATCACTTTTTTTTTTTTTACTGCTACGAATGAATGATTCTATTTTAGTGGGTGCAGGGGGGGGATGAGTGATGCTGACTTCTTATATCCATTTAATACATGATGGAAAGGCCTTTTTGCATTTAAATAATAAGTGCGCTCAATCTAATTAGAGCTCAAAACACCCTCATCTTTACGTGACTTGTTTGAGAGCGTTGCATAAATGGGGGATGGGGATTTTGCGTGTGTGTGTTTGGATAACGGAGGCTATTTTCTCAGAGATGTCTAGTAATGGGGGAGGGTGAGCACAGCATCGGTCACCCTACGCTCTTTTTCTGATTGTCTTCCTTCCTGGAAGCAAGAAATGAAAAAAGGCTGACATCAGAAGCAAACATATGCACGCACAGACCTACAAACTAAAATACACACACAGTATGTTTACCTTTAGGAAAACAGGAGGGCATACAGATAACCCGGAGATATTTATCCAAAAGGGCAGACAACATTAAAGTTCACCCATCTATAGACTCTGACCACTGATGTCATTTTACCTGTAGTGCTTAGTTTCAGACACCATATTCGAGTGCACCAACGTAAAAGGAAAACACGAAGAGAAGCCTTATCCACTTTTGGCGTTATCAGTCATCGGTCAAACAATTCCAGTCCAATTTCTACCTTAAAAATATTTTTTGGATTCACCTTTAGATGGATTTTCATTATATCAAAACACATCATGAAATATTTCACTGTGTGGAGTGAATTTATATGACAAGAGTGAATATTGTCACTTTTTGTACTGTTAAAATAAATAAGGTTTCCTTAATTGCATTGCAGTCAACAAAGGACTTACCCAGATTTGTAATTTAATCCTCTTATCATTCCTATAGATGGTCTTCACCTTGAAGTCGATGCCCACCGTACTGACAAAGGCGGGTGTGAAGGAGTCATCGGCGTAACGGAACAGGAAAGAGGTTTTACCCACACTACTGTTGCCAATGATGAGGATCTTAAACATATAGTCAAAGTTCTGGTCTGAGGACTCCTTCTGTCCGTAGGTCGCTGTGGCTGATGCCATCTGTAGACAAAAATTGAGGAGGGGAAAGTCAACTTGTGTGACAACTGGAATTACATGGATGAGGTAACAGATACATGGAAGACTCAATGCCTAACAGTATGAAAGTTGTGGAACCTGTGTTCATAAAATTCAGTTCACCACCAGCAGAATCTTTTTCGCTTATTGAGCATTGAAAGGACAAACTCGACAAGCGTGTTTTGCTTGATGTTTGTTTTGGTGATCCCAATGCAGAAAAGTGCCAGTGAAACTCGTGAAAATGTTACATACATACCTCTAGAGTGTTTCAGTTAAAAAAAATATTGAACTGAATGCACATTACTTAACCGGCTAGACTTTGGTTACTGATTAATTTGAAAACGTGGATTAAATCTGAACAAATTGGAGGCTAACTAGTGTCCTGCAATAGGGAAATATATATATATATATATATATATATATAAAAATAGCGATACAGTGCCTTTTAAAATATATCTGTATTGTCAGTGTTGTGCAGAGGTAATGTGCTCATTTATTATTTGCCATAGTAATTCAGATTTACTGAGAGATGATCGGAGTATAAAACAATATGGCATTGTCATTAATTTTTAACTGCCTTCTCTAATGCATTTACAGTATTTTTTTAATTGTGAAAATAAACACAAAGAGTACGAGTAAAAGATTTAAAAGGCAATTAAGACGCAAGAAAATCCCAATCATGTGAGTTAGTGACTACAAGGACTGAGCAAAGTTGGAGACCTTAGAAAAGATGTTGACTTCAGCCCAGTCAGACACCCTCAGAGTCCCAATGCGCCGCTCTATGTTTAGACCATTATCTTGACTTGCTGCAGTGCAACACTAGACTGCTGAGAGCCTAAAGCACAAAGCAAAACAACTGCAACCTGCTATCATTTTACACGAAGTGATACATAGATACTGGATAAATAATGAAGTTGCATAACCCCAAAATGTAAGAATGACGCTTTTGTCTGTGCCTGTAAGTGAGAACTACTCTTCTGTTTCGGTCAATGTGCATTGACACTGCAGGCCTTCATACCCAGCTCCAGTTCTATGCCTGTATCCATCCATCTGTTTTTGTTTTTTTTGTTTGTTTGTTTACCCTTTCCCTGAATCTACTTTCAGGGGACCCATATCTCATACTGAGTTGACATTTATCTGAAACAACCCATGTGCACACAAGCACAAAATGCAGTTAAACAACAGTGGTGGGCAAAAATACAAAAGCAAATAAAAATGTTTAACATAACAGATGTTTAAGAGTAACGGACCTTCATGGTTCATCAGCAGTAGGGTAGTGGTTCACATAGATGGCATTTTTTATGCAGTTGGAGGGGATTACAATCTCCTTGAGATAAAGCAGGTTCATGCTGTGAGGTATCTGAACTGGGCCACATGGGACAGGTAAAAAAAAATAAATAAAATAGACCACACAGCAGGACATCAGCTCATAATTTATCACTGCCAACGTTCAGTGTTTGTTCTCTCCGAGGCCAGTTTTATTAAAATATATCTTCTCGTGTCACTGTTACACATAGTGTTTACTCAGTAAACAAGTATTTTGACCAGTCATCTGTCTTTGTACCTTTGATTATACACATTTGTAATTTTAGATTTTTACTTTTTATGTTCAAACTTGGATATTCTGTGGCAATTTCCAATACAATGTATATTACTGCCTACCAAAACAATCTCTTAGACCTGTTTTCCACTTGATATTTC